AAAAAAAAAAAAAGGAAATTCCCAGTGATTCCATTGTGCAGCCAGGTTTGGGATCCAGTGAACCAGATGACCTCAGGATGGCTTCCACCTCCGGCAAAAAGAGGAAGATTGGCAATAGGTGTTAGCTCAGAGCCAATCTTCAAAAAAAAAAAAAAAAAAGAAAGAAAAAAAAGAAAAATCAACAGGAAATTCCTCAGCTTTCCCCTCTTTCACTTAAAGCACTTTTTCCACATCTTGCACTGTCTCCTCCCCTTGCACTCAACTGCATCTTGCCCCACCTGCAGCCTTCCTTTCAGTCCTGTACCTTCAACCTCTCTTTTTCTTGAACACACTGCTCTGTCTTCCAATCTCTCCACCCCACAGCCACCACGATGAACTTCTTAAAGCCTCAGGCAACTGACGCTACCACATACATTTGCTATCTGCAGTCTGGATAGGAGAATTCTTTGCACAGTTAGCATTCCCGGCTCCACCCGCTGATGCCAGAGAGCCACGTCCCCAGCTGCTCCTCATCCACCAACACTTTCATGTGTCCAAAAGGTCTTCATTCAGGACCTTACGAGGCACCTGGGGTGATGAAAGAAGCAGCACACGGCATCCCTTATGAAGAAGATGTGCCCAAAACGCTTCACCTGAACCTAATCATGCAAAATCAGTCAGAGAAATCCAGAACGTGAGACATTCTACAAGAAAAGTAGCCTAGGCTCATCAAAAAATCAAAATCATGAAAAATAAAACAAACAGGTAAATAAAGGCAGGGGACTGTATCAGATTAAAAGAGACTTTGGAGTTAGAAGAGCCAAACGTACTGTGAATCAGAACGTGTGCACACACAGACTTAACAGACAACTGAGGAAATATGAATGTTATTGCATTTTTGTTGAATTTCTCAGCTACAGCAATGGAATTGTGGTTACGGAGGTGAGCATCCTTGTTCTTAGGAGATACATGCTGGAGTGTTCAGGGGCAGAACACCACTGAAGTCTGCCACTTACTTTAAAAAGCTCAGCAAAAAAGGTATATGTATTGTGCATATAGTATTCAGAAAGAAGAGACAGAGTGAGAATGACACAATGTGAATAACCGCAGAATATGGCTGAAAGGTTAATATGGGTGACTGTTACTATTCTTTCTGTGGTTTGACATCTTTCTAAATAAAAACTTAGGGGAAATAAAGGTCTTCAACAGTTCCCACTGCCTAGAGACGGCCATTGCTGTGAGTGCTATCCAGTCAATTCTGACTCCTAGCGACCCTGTGGACAGCAGAGTGGAATCCAGTCCGGTCCTTTTGTGCCATCCTCTCACCTTGCAGCACTCTCTCAGACAATGCTCCACTGCTGTTCATAGGGTTTTCATGGCCAATTATTTTGGAAGTAGGGGGCTAGGTCTTTCTTCCTAGTCTGTCTAGTCTACAAGGTCCGCTCAAACTTGTCCACCGTGGGAGACTCTGCTGGTATGTGAAATAACCAGTGGCAGAGCTTTCAGCATCACAGTGACATGTAGCTGCCACAGTGTGACAACCGACAGATATGTGGTATGGTCCCTGACCAGGAAGGGAACCCAGGCTGTGGCAGTGAGAGTCCCAAATCTTAACCACTAGACCACCAGGGCTGGCTAGAGAAGGCCACACCAATACTCTATTGTGGCATCACAGATTTTTGATGATCTGCCACCCAATTAAAATTTCCAACCTCATTCCCAGTGGTGCTCCTGTACCACCAACTGCTCTGCCCATATGTACTCCAAATGCTACAGGTATTGTGGATGGGACAGTCCTGTGTGGGACAGTGCAGTTAGCATTCCTGACCCCCATCTACTAATGTGGTAGAGCCGTCTCCGCAGGGGCCCTTCATCTGCCAACACTTGCACACATGCAGTGCTCCTGATGGAGTGGGCAGACCTCCCTGGGCTGAAACTCCTGAAACTAATCACAGTCCCCAGAACAAGGCCAGCACTGCAGAGCTCTGTGCTTTCCTTCACACTCTCTACTTACCAGAAAAGCCCTCTGCTTCCTCAGTTCTGAATTACTCATCCTACAAAGCCCATCCCAAATCTTTGATCCACAACTACGAAAGGTGAGGGAGACTGTAGAAATCATCTGATTCACACCGTTAGCTTTGCAGATGGTGAAACTGAGGCCCAGAGAAGTGAAAGGATTTGACAAGTTCACACACCAAGCAGACTCTGATGCCAGGGCCAGCAGCCCGATCCACACGGAGTGCCCCTCCTACCCTAGCAACAGTGCCACCCTCCACCGGGGACACCTTTTCCCATCCTTCTGTCAGAATTAACTGCTCCTGTCTTACTCATGACCCCCACCTACCCGGGAAGCCCTTGGGGCTGGAACCATGCTAATCTATGTATGTCACCCAGCACAACATCTTGAGTGTCGCAGATACTCAAAAAATATTTATTGAAAACCACTGGTAAATAAGTCACTTGCAAATGATGTATCTTGAGGAACCCTTTACTTGCAAAACTAGCACACAACTGTTATTTGTACTGATTTTTCAGTCATAATTTTGATTTAGATATTATCTCAAAAACAATAGTAAGCAACTTGCCTTTTCTAAACGGCCCCCAAAAAGTCTTCGAGCCAGCAGCTTGCCCGCCTGTATGGCGACAGGAGTGAGCTCAAGTTTCCCCTCCAGAACGTCCCCAATCGCGTAAACATAGGGCACATTGGTCTGCTCCACATCATTTACTGGTACTTTGCCACTCCTATTAGGAAAAAAATATATTATGACTAACTCTGTACTGCTGGATGACTAACGCAACTGCAAGAGGAGAAGACTAAATACCCAGAGAAAGACCTCCCTCTAAGAACGCATGCCCCTCAGGTCATCAACTGTCTATAAGACCAATGGCTTCAGATAACACGGGTTTCTGTAGCTTCAAGAGAAAAACACCTTTCCGGATGGTGAAACCTGGCTCGTTTTGTGGATGCCGAGGGTATCTCCAGATTCCCTGCAGAGTTGCACTTAGAGCTTTGAAATTTTTCTCCTTGCCTGACCCAGGATATAAAAATTCACTCTAAAACAGACAGTGAGTGACTATATTTCCACAATTATTTTTTTAAATCACTGTTTAATGCATGAGCTCTTTAAGGCAAACAATAAAGAGTTACTGATTGATTAATGAAAAAATTGATAATATAGAGCTGGCCAGTACTTGTAAAGTAAATTTAAAGGATTAAAATTTTGCATCTTAGTAATTGAATGAGAATTTCCAAGAGGAGATCGCAAAAACACTGCTTTGTGCAGCAACAGTGCAATGATCCCACATGTACCTACTTCTCATTGATTTTGACACCGATCTTCTCCAAGCCTATTTTCTTTGTACAGGAGTCACGACCAATTGCTAACAAAACCTATATTTAGACAGAGATCAAAAATACAAATTATCAATATCAGAAATGAAAGAGGAAACATCACTAGAGATCTTTCAGACATTAAAAAGATAATAACAGTATTAGAAACACCCTATGCCAATAAATTTGACAGCTTAGACGAAACAGATTCCCCTTTTTTTGAGGGCAATACGTGTTTTATTATTTTTTATTGAGATAACTGACATATAACATTATATTAGTTTCAGGTGCACAAAACAGTGATTCAATATTTATATATATTGCGAGATGATCACCACAATATAGTTAACATCCATCACCACACAGTTACAATTTTTTTCTTGTGATTAGAACCTTTAAGATCTACTCTCTTAGCAACTTTCAAGTATACAATACAGTATTATTAACTACAGTCACCATGCTCTACATTACATCCCCAAAATAGACTCCTTGAAAGACACAATTTACCAAACTTACAGACAAATCTGAATAACCCTATGTTACGTGCTGAATTACACCCCCATCGCCCCCCAATTCACACGCTGAAGCCCTAACCCCCAGTATACTTCAGAACATGGCTGTATTTGGAGATAGGAGCTTTAAAGAGGTAATAAGGTAAAATGAGGCCATTAGGGTGGGCCCTAATTCAATCTGACTGGTGTCCTTATAAGAGAAGGAGATTAGGACACAGACAACACAGACTTAGGGATGATCATGTGAGGACAGAGGGAGAAGACAGCCATCTGCAAGCCAAGGAGAGAGGCCTCAGGAGGAACCAGCCCTGCCAACGCCTTGATCTCAGATTTCTGGCCGCCAGACCTGTGGGAAACTATATTTCCATCGCCCACGCCACCCAGTACTTAGTTATGGTAGCCCTAGCAGACTAACACTCTATACACATTAAAGAAACTGAATTCACAATTTATAAACTTCCCATAAATTAACCCCACACCCAGATGACATCACTGGTAAAGTCTATCAAAACTTGAGTAAGAAATAATACTAATGGTACACAAACTATTCCAGAAAAAAGAGGAGGGAGCCAGCCCTGATGGCCTAGCCGTTAAAGTTCAGTGTTCTCACTGCTTTGGCGGCCCGGGTTTGTTTCCTGGTAGTGGAACCACACCACCCATCTGTCAGTTGCCATGCTGTGGTGGTAGCTCACATAGAAGAACTAGAAGGACTTACAAGTAGGATACACAACCATGTACTGGGGCTTTGGGGAATAGAAAAAAAAAAAAAGGGGAAGACTGGCAATAGATGTTAGCTCAGGGCGAATCCTTCCCTGCAGAGAAAAAAAAAAAAGAGAAGGGAACACTTCCCAACTGCTTTTTATGAGGTCAGCATAAACATCTGACACCAAAATCAAACAAGGATATTAAAATAAAATTATAAGCCAATACTCCTCATGAACATTGATGCAAAATCCTTAACAATATGTTAGCAAATCAAATATAGCAATATATAAGAATAACTGATCATGACCAAGTGGGGTTTGTCCCAAAAATACAACTTTAGTTTAACATGCAAAAATCAATCAATGTAATTCATCATATTAACTGAATAAAGGAGAAAACAATTTAATCATCTCAATACATGTGGAAAAAGCATTTGTCAAAACTTAACACCCTTTGAGGATTTTGTTTGTTCAATTTTTTTATTGAGGTAACCTTGGTTTATAACATTATGTAAGTTTCAGGTGTACATCACTCTATTTCAATTTCTGTGAAGACTATATTGTGTTCACCACCAAAAGTCTAGCTGTCATCCACCACTGTACACACGTGCAGTGTGTACTTCTTTCGCTCTCACCCCTCCCCCCTACCCCTCTAGTAACTACCAATCTATTCTCTGTGTCTATGTGTTTGTTGGTGGTGATTGTTTTTCTATCTTCCACATGAGTAAAATCATACGGTATTTGGCTTTCTCCATCTGACTTATTTTCCTTAGCATAATACCCTCCAGGTCCATCCATGTTGTTGCAAATGGCACAATTTTGTCTTTTTTATGGCTGCTTAGTATTCCATTGTGTATATATACCACGTCTTCTTTATCCATTCATCCATCAATGGGCACTTAGGTTGTTTCCAAGTCTTGGCTATTGTGAATAATGCTGCAACGAACATAGGGGTGCATGTATCTTTTCAAATTAGCGTTTTTGTGTTCTTCAGATAAATATCCAGAAGTGGAATAGCTGGATCATATGGTAGTTCCATTTTTAATTTTTTGAGGAATCTCTATACTGTTTTCCATAGTGGCTACACCAGTTTGCACTCCCACCAGCAGTGTACGAGGGTTCTCTTTTCTCTACATCCTCTCCAACATTTGTTATTTCTTCTCTTGTTAATTATAGCTATTCTGACGAGCATTAGGTGATATCTTATTGTGGTTTTGATTTGCCTTTCCCTAATAATTAGTGATGATGAACATCTTTTCAAGAGTCTGTTGGCCATGTATGTATCTTCTTTGGAAAAATGATTCTTCAGATCCTCTGTCCATGTTTTAATCAGATTGTTTGTTTTTTTTGTTCTTCAGTTGTGTGAGTTCTTTATGTATTTTGGATATTAACCCCTTATCAGATATATGATTTGCAAATATTTTCTCCCAATTGCTAGGTTGTCTTTTCATTTTGTTGATGGTTTCCTTTCCCGTGCAGAAGGTTTTGAGTCTAATGAAGTCGCATTTGTTTATTTTTTTCTTTTGTTTCCCTTGGTGAGGAGAAATGATATTCAAAAAGACACTGCTAAGACTGATGTCAAAGAGCATACTGCCTATGTTTTCTTCGAGGAGTTTTATGGTTTCAGGTCTTACATTCAAGTCTTTAATCCATTTTGAGTTAATTTTTCTGTATGGTGTAAGATAATGATTTACTTTCATTTTTTTGCATGTGGCTGTCTAGTCTTCCCAACACCATTTATTGACGAGACTTTCCTTTCTCTGTCGTATGTTTTTGGCTTCTTTGCCAAAAATTAGCTGTCCATAGATGTGTAGGTTTATTTCTGGGCTCTCAATTTTGTTCTGTTGATCTGTGTGTCTGTTTTTCTGCCAGTATCATGCTGTTATGATTACTATTTGTAGTATATTTTGAAATCAGGGAGTGTGATACCTCCAGCTTTGTTCTTTTTTCTCAGGATGCTTTGGCTAATCAGACTCTTTTGCTTTTCTATATGAATTTCAGAATTCTTTGTTCTATTTCCGTGAAAAATGTCATTGGGACTTTGATAAGGATTGCACTGAATTTGTAGATTGCTTTAGGAAATATGGACACTTTATGTTAATTCTTCCAACCCATGAGCACAAAATATCTTTTCATTTCTTTGTGTCTCCTTCAATTTCTGTCAACAATGTTTTATAGTTTTCAGTGTACAAGTCTTTCACCTCCTTGGTTAAATTTACTCCTAGGCATTTTATTCTTTTTGTTGCAATTGTAAATGGAATTGTATTTTTGATTTCTCTTTCTGTTATTTCATTTGTGGTGTATAGAAATGCAACTGATTTCTGTATGTTGATTTCGTACCCTGCAACTTCACTGTATTTGTTTTTTATTTCTAATAGTTTTTTGGTGGATTCTTTAGGGTTTTCTATGTATAAAATCATGTCATCTGCAAATAGTGACACTCTTACTTCTTCCTTTCCAATTTGGATCTCTCTTATTTCTTTTTCTTGCCTAATTACTCTGGCTAACACTTCCAATACTATGTTAAAAAGAATGGTGCAAGTAGGCATCCTTGTCTTTTTCCTGTTCTTAGAGGGACAGCTTTCAGTTTTATTTCCTTCCTTCTACTGATTTTGGGCTTTATTTAGTCTTCTTTTTCTTGTTCCTTTAGGTATAATGTTAGATTGCTTATTTGAGATTTTTCTTGTTTCTTGAGATAGGCCCATCTTGCTATAAATTTCCCTCTTAGTACCTCTTTTGCTGTATCTCATAGATTTTGGTATGTTATATTTTCATTTTCATTTGTCTCCAGGTATTTTTTTATTACTCCTTTGATTTCTTCATTGACCAGAGGATTTTAATTAAAACCTCAGCACACTACAAATAAAAGAAAACTTCCCAACCTGATAAAAGGCACCTGTAAAAAACCTACAGCTTACATCCTAGCAGTGATGAAAGACTGAGTGCTAAGATAAGAGCGAGACAAGGATGCCGACTCGCACAATTTCTATTCAACATTGTACTGGAGGTCTTAACTCATATAACAAGGCAAGAAAAAAAAATAAAAAGCATGCAGGTTGAAAAGAAAAAACAAAACTGGTTTTATATGTAGACACATATCCTAAGAAGCTATGGCAAGATCAATATACAAACATCATTTGGGCCGGCCCCGTGGCTTAGCGGTTAAGTGCGTGCGCTCCGCTACTGGCGGTCCGGGTTCGATCCCGGGCGCGCACTGACGCACTGCTTCTCCAGCCATGCTGAGGCCGCGTCCCACATACAGCAACTAGAAGGGTGTGCAACTATGACATACAACTATCTACTGGGGCTTCGGGGGAAAAAATAAATAAATAAAATTATAAAAAACAAAAACAAAAACATCATTTGTATTTCTATATACTAGCAACTAACCACTGAAAATTAAAATTTTTAAAATATCATTTACAATAGCTTAAAAAACATGAAATACTTAGAGATAAACTTAACAAAACACATGAAAATCTCTAGAGCAAAACAAAATACTGCTGAGAGAAACTACAGAACACATAAATAAATGGAAAGATATATGAAGTTCATATACTGGAAAAATCAATATTGTTAAGATGTCAGTGCTTCTATACTTATCCATATAATCAATACAATCCCAATCAAAATCCCAGTAGGCTTTTGTGGGGTAGACATTGGCAAGCTATTTTAAAGCCTATATGGAAATGGAAAGGACCTAAACAAAGTTGGAAGACTTACTCTACCTAGTCGTAGGATTTACTATAAAGTTTCAATAATAAAAACAATGTGGTACTGGTGAAAGGAGACAAATGGTCAATGGGATAAAGAGTATAGAAACAGACCCATAGTTAAACAGTCAAATGACTTCAACAAAGACATCAAAGCAATTCAATGGAGAAAGGGAAGTCTTTCCAACAAATGGCACCAGATATCCATATGGAAGAAAACGAACCTTAATTCCTACCTCATGCTACAAACAAAAATTAATTCAAGATGAATTACAGACCTAAACATAAAAGATAAAACTATAAAGCTTCAGATAAAAAAAATATATATCTTCATGACTTCTGGGTAAGCAAATATTTCTTAGAGTACAAAGAAAGTATTAACCATAAAACCAAAAATCGATAAATTGGACTTCATAAAAATTTTTAAACTACTTCTCGTCAAAAGATGCCAAGAAATAAACAAATAGGCAAGTCACAGATGAGATGAAAATATTCACAAGACATACATCTGAAAAAGGAATATATCCAAGATATACACAGAACTCTTGCGATTCAAGAATAAAACTTCAAATAACCCAACCAAAAATTGGCCAAAGACTCACAGACATTTCATAAGGGAAAATATATAAATGGCCAATAAACACATGAAAAATTCTCAACATCATTAGTCATAGAAGATGCGAATTAAAACTATAATAAGATACCACTACACACACACTAAAATGGCTTAAATGAAAAAGCTGATAATTCCAAATGTTGGTAAGGATATGGAACAACCAAACTTGAATACATGGCTGGTGGAAATATAAAATTATACAATCATTTGGAAAGTCTTTGGCAGTTTCTCAAAATGTTAAACATAGAAACTATCCTATGACCAAGCAATTTCACTCCTAGGTATTTACCCATAAGAAATGAAAATCTATGTCCATAAAAGGCCTTACGCAAGAAATCTTCACAGTAGTTTTAGTCACAATAGCTCAAACTGCAAACAGCCTATGTGACCATCCACAGGAAAATAAACAAACTGCGGTATATTCATATAATTCATACAATAAAAAGAACTAACTACTGATACACACAACAACACGGATGAATCCTAAGGCAGACACTGAGAAGTGTATATTGCATGGCTCCATTTCTACGACATCTAGAATAGGCAAAACCAGTCTATGGTGACAGAAGCAGAACAGGGTTGCTTGGGATCAGGGAGTGGGAAGGGACACAAGAAAGCTTTCTGAACTCACAGAAATTTTCTGTTATCTTCAAAGGAGTGTGGACTACTTGAACATGTGTATTTGTCAAATGTAATGAATTGTACATCTAAGATCTGTGCGTTTCACTGCATGTAAATTATCCCTCATTACAAAAATAAACAATTTATGAATTTAGATATTGTGACCAACTTTATACCAATATATTTGATAACATAAATGAAATGGAAAATGAAAATTCCTAGAAAAATATAACTAATCAAAAGTAACTCAAAAAAAATACAGAAAACCTTAAAAGTCCTCTGACTGTTAAAGACATTGAATCAGTGGTCAAATATATATATCCATAGAAAATTTTAGGCCCAGATGGTTATATCAGTGAATTCTATCAAATCTATAAAGAACCAATTCTAATACTGCATAAATGCTTCCAGAAAACAGAAAAAGAGGGAACATACTCCAAACTTCTTTCACAAGCTAGAATAACCTTGATACTAAAATCTGATAAGTTCAAAATGTGAAATGAAAATTATAAACCAGTGTGATTCATGAATAAAAATGCAAAAATTATAAATAACCAAATCCAACAAAATATAAAAAGTACCATTATCAAGTTGGGTTTATACCAGGAATACAAAGTTGATTGAACATTAGAAAATCAATGTAATTCAACACATTAACAGATTAAAGAAAAAATTTTTTTGATCAAGAGCTACAAAAGAAACATTGTTACAACTGAACATCCACTCATGGTTTTTTAAAAACAACAAAAAAACAAATAACCAAAAAATACTTAGCAAACAAGAAATAGAAAAGAATTTAACTTGATAAAGAATACCTAACAAAACTGTATAGAAAACATTACTCTTTAATGATGAAACACTGAACATTTTCCTTTTGATACTGAGAACAAGGCAAGAACACCTGCCACTGCCATATCCTGCTAACACAGTACCGGAATTCTTAGTGCACTCATTCGAGAAAATGAAATAAAGAAGAAAAGAATGCAAAGGAGGAAACAAAACTGTTGTTATTCACATGTAAGGTGAATGTGTACAAAGAAAATCCAAAATAATCTAAGGATAAATTATTAAATAAGAATTTAGCAAAGATTATTGAATACTAAATCAAAACACACAAATCAGCAGCATTTCTATACATGAGCAACAGTTAAAGACAATGACATTTTTAAAAAAATTATCAATTATAACTACATAAAAATACATAAGTACCTAGAAATAAATCTAACAGAAGATGTTCCTGATCTCTACAGAGAAATGTATTAAGTTTGTTGGAAATCATTAAAGTAGGTTTAATTAAAGAACAGAGATATACCATGTTCATGGATTAAAAGACTGAATATTGCAAAGAAGCCAAGTGTTTCCAATTGATTTATAAATCCAATGAAATCTTAATCAAAATCTCAACAGGGGTTGATTTTTCTTTTTTGGTTTTGCTATATATTTTTTGGCTTTGTTAATCCTCTCTACATTGTTTACTTTTTTTTAACTAAAGAAAAATCATGTATATGAGCATATAGAATATAAATGTATAGTTTATGTTAAAACTATAAACTATAGTTTACAAAAGAAACCTTTGTGTCCAAATATCATCAGTTTAAATTAGAACTGTTGCCAACCAAAACAATCCATGGACTAGTCACATTATTTGGAAATTTTATATTGTTTGTTTTTGAAGAAAATATCTTTATTATTGTTTTCGATTATAAGATATATTCAATGTTTACTGCAAAAATATTCAAATGCAGAAATGTATAAGATATCTAATTCCCCAGAAATAAGCACTACTATCAGTTGGATAGATCTGCTTCCAGATTTTATTCTGTGCATAGTTACAGATGCACATATATTTTACCACAGTATTCTTCATGTACCCTGAAAACTATTAAATGTCAACAGCCCAACTACCTTCCATATTTATTATGCTCTTACAAAGAATCAAAATAGTTAAGCCTAGTATAACTTTCCTATAAGCTTCATCTGTGCCAATTTATGAGTGTGTTCAAGCACTTACTGCTTATAAAATAAAAACTTACTGTGTTATATACTCCTTCAATAGTTTCTGGTCCTTCAGTGGATTTAGCCACTACTTTCAGCTTTCCAGGCGAACCTTTCTCCAACTGTTGAACCTAGTAAGGATAAATAATGTACTGATTCTATCTAAAGGTGACAGAAATAAATCGATTATAGGGTGTATACGTGTGTGAGTGTATCCCAGTATGTGTGGGTGTGTGTATTTAGGTTTTGTACTAAGTAGAGACAGAGAAAAGAGGCCTGATACAATACAAGATACAATTTGGAGGCATAAACAAGTTAATGGATTAGTTGGAGGTAGCATAAAAGGAGGAATTAAAGGATGCTTTCTAGGTGTTGGCTTTATAAATCGTGGGGACTGTAGTACCATTTACTGAGTACTGAGATAGGTCAGAAAGATTAGCTGGGGAATACATTTAGGTAAAATACCAAGAATTTCATTTTTGTCTTGTTAAATTTGAAATGCTCTTGAGGAATTCAAGTGGAGATATCCGGTGAGCAGCAGCATAAATGGGTGTGGAGTTCAGGAGAGATGCCTGAGCAAGATACATAAACCTGAGAGCCAAGAGCATTGAGATAATAAAGTACGGGCCTAAAGCAGACTGCCCAGGTAAAAAGCGCAGAGAAGTGAAGAGGCACCAGGTGCTCCGATATTTACCAGTTGAATAGATGTGGAACCAAAGGCTGTGGGGCCATAGAAGCAGAGAAAGGAGAGTGTTTCAAACAGAAGGGATGTCAGCTTCACCGAATGCTGCCCAGACGCCCAGGAAGATAAGGACAGGGATGTCACCATTGGCTTTGGCAACACGGAGTTTGCCACAGACCCCAACAAGCAGTTTCAAAGCAGTGGCAGGGATGGAAGAAGCTGAGAGAAGGTTGAAGTGTAAAACGGAGGCAAGAAATCAGAAGTAGCACGTATAGAAGTTTTCTTGTAAAGCACTGAAGAAAAATGGGGACCCAGCCAGAAAGGCAGAGAGGGGAAGGGAGGGCTTATTTGTTTAAAGATGTGCAACACCCGGGCTGGCCTGGTGGCACAGTGGTTAAGTTCTCGTGCTCCGCTTTGGCAGCCTGGGGTTCACGGGTTCAGATCCCAGGCGCAGACCTAGGCACCGCTTATCAAGCCATGCTGTGGCAGGCATCCCACATATAAAGCAGAGGAAGATGGGCATGGATGTTAGCCCAGGGCCAATCGTCCTCAGCAAAAAGAGGAAGATTGGCAATGGATAATAGCTCAGGGCTAATCTTCCTCACCAAAAAAAAAAGGATGAGCAACACTGAAGGGAATGATAAAGGGGGAAAGAAGACAACTAACTGGAGATGGGACGTCCCTGAAAAGGTGAAAGGAACAATGAGAAGAGGAAACACAGCCTGAGAGGAGCAAGGACACCTCCATATTAGAGGAGAAGAGGGACAAGTGGGGGTCGGCTTCACAGATCTGGGGTGGGAAACTATCTTTAAAGTTTCCTCTTGAGTACAGACTAATTTATTTAATGAAATGAAGGAGGGATAAAAGAGAGAGTAAAGAGAAAATAAAATGAATTCCAACTGTCACCTAGACTTACCATCACAGGCACAAATTTTCTTAAGAACTTAACACCATGTTGTTCCATGTAGGAACCCACTTTCTCTGCCATTTCTTGATCAAAGCCACGAAGAAGGATTGAGCGCACCATAACTGTGACATCTAAGCCAACGCCAGCAAGAAATCCTGCACATTCCAGAGCAACGTAAGATGCACCCACTACTAAGGTTTTGCCAGGGCAATAAGGCAGAGAAAAAAGGTCATCACTGAAAAATAAAAATAAAGAAAAGAATACCTAGGTAATAAAAATGAAATGAGTTATTTAGGTTTCCATGTATAATGGTCTTTTGTTGGCTGAACTGCAATTTAGTGCTTGAAGAAACACTAAAAGAAACAGCCTTTTGGAGTTTGTAATAGTGTCTACAGTGGAGTAAAAAGTATACCTCAGTTTTTTCAGAGTCAAATTAGTGGATCACAAGCAAAGTTTTTTAAAAAATAAAATAGAATATAAAATATTAGACTACATTATATGTGATAAGAAATATTGTTTTGTCTGTCTTGGATCTGTGTGTGTGTGTGTGTGTGTGTGTGTGTGTTCACTTGAACACCAGTGCAACGAAAAATGTATTTCTTACTGGGCACCTGGTCAAAAATGTTTGAAAGTCATTGTACTACATTACACAGTGTCTTCTTTATAACTGTCGAGGAAATGCATATCAAACTTCACATTAGGAGCAGCCATGCTTCTCCTGATCAACTGGTTCATTATTACTATACAGACTATACTAGAACCTAAAGCTAACTGTATTCGCTTCTTTGCATTGGCCTCTAGGAAGTTTAGAGCCAAATTCCCAGACCAACTCCCAGAGCAGTTACCTAGAAACATACAGCATATTTTTGTGCATAAATCTGACTTTATTATTTACCTAGCCTTATTTTCTCTTTGCTCCATTATGTTAACTACTTAGTGCCTTGCACTATATGTACTTTTATTCATCAATTCAAATCTTTTGTGAAGTAAGACAGGGAATAAATAAATTGGAAACACAAACACACAGCAATTTACAGTTAAAACAGACTATTTCACCTTACCTAGTAATGCAGTATTCTTTATCTCCTTGGATTCCTAAATACCGTGGCCTCTCACCTGTTGCTATGACAAATTTTGCAGCAGTATAACAGGTTTCCTGTCCTTTTCTATTGGTTGCCTTGAGAAAAGAAAAGTAAATTTCACCTTTTCAACAGACACTATAGGGTATCAGACACCCTGGACACACTAGTTACTACCCTTACAGAGCTTCCATTCAAAAGGAACAGACATGCAAAAATAATAACGTACTGTGATAAGCACCAGCATAGAAAACAGAAGTCTTTATAAAACAGTAACCAGGGCCGGCCTGGCGGCATAGCGGTTAAGTTCGTGTACTCCACTTCCGCGGCCCGGGGTTCACAGGTTTGAATCCGGGTGCAGACCTACACACCGCTTATCAAGCCATGCTGTGGCTGCATCCCACATATAAAGTGGAGGAAGATGGGCACGGATGTTAGCCCAGGGCCAATCTTCCTCAGCAAAAAGAGGAGGATTGGCAACAGATGTTAGCTCAGGGCTAATCTTCCTTACAAAAAATAAAAAATAAAAATAGTAACCAAAAGAGCAGAGTGCGGGTAGAGTAGGGGGACTGGGAAGGCAGCCAAGGATGGCTTCCAAGGAGGTGATATTTCAGCTGGGGATGAGAAATGTGAAACGACTGGAGAGGAATGTTAACCTAAAAGAGAACAGGACATATAAAGACACACAGGCCCGAAAGCAGCTGGTATCTGGGGACAGCAAGTGTCCAGGAAGTGACAGGAAAGGAGGGTACGTGTCACATGGAAGTGAGACAGATCAGTGCCAAACATAAAGACCCTTACATGCCGTCCTAAAAATTTAGGTTATGGGGAACCAATAAAGGTTGTTCATTGTTTGTTTATTTTCAATCATACAAGTAAATCATAAATACATTTTCATTTTTAAAAATTCAAAAACCAGTGGAGGTGTTTAAACGAGAGGGTGGTTTAAACAGTGGGATGGAGGGAAGGCAGCCTGGAAACAGGTACCTGCTTAGGAGGGTCCTGAAAAGACAAACAAGTGCATGCTGTGGGGGTGAAGTGGGGGGAACCCGAAAGCTCTAGCTGGAGCAACCGAGGAGACGCTGCTATCACTAAACATGGAAGCACAGAAGAGGCAAGTCTGGCTGGCAATGGTCGGCTTATTCAACCAACCGTGCTGGGCATACTACAATTTGAGAAATAAAACGAACTGACTTGTATTTCTATTATGTTTCATATGAATGATGTAATTCAAATTGGCCCATGGATGGTTTCAAAGGAGCAGCTTTCAATGGACCACCTCACATCTTTCTAGAGATAACAAATGATTACAAAATAACCTCAAATCCTGTCAAGATCATCGCACACTGTGCTATGAAAGCATAGTACAAAAATCAACTAGATGTTGAGGATAATATTTGACTGTCTTTCATAAATTCAGTTTAAAATTTTTGGGTTCATCAAAATGTTCTCATTTTCCTTACATATTGACACTATAACACATAAACATTACAAATGTAAGTTTATAAAAAACACTCATTTTTGATTATACTTTTATTAATGTTTTTATGAATAATATACATTAAAGTTCTAGTTAAAGTGTCATTTTAAAAAATAATTACACTGCTAAAATTTTTATCTTTTTAGTCTTTTGAACTTTGAACTCAGTCTAAATATTTTGTAAGATGGCAATGAAATTGAAAGGCACATAATAACTTTAAGAGTTCTTTAAAAGGCAATTTCTTCAATTTAGCCAACGTGGAATCAACAAACAATGGGAGAATACACGTGCATGCACAGCCGTGTGCACATGCACACACCAGCTATAGCCCTTGACACACAACACAACACAGAATTTTAGTTCAAAGCAAGTGCAAGCAATAGTAAGGAAAAGCAGTGAATAAGACAAAATATTCAAACAGTACCTTTATTTTATGATGTTCGACAAATTCTCCATAGGAATTGACATAGGCCACGGCCTTCTCCCTCAAAGACAACCTGTAGCCCCAATTTAGAGATCCAATGTGGTTTTGAATCGCTTCTGTCATGGTCTCCCAGTTGTGCTTGACTGAAAATAAATAACCAGAGTGAAAGCACAAAGGGAATTTTATTTTTAACGGTCAATTATATATAACCAAACATGATCCATATTATATATTTCTTTAAGAATTAAGAAGTGAACAAAAAATAATTAGCAACTTAAATCTTTTTTATGAAGTTATGGTTTATACTTCTTCCTATTTTATATTATGAAACAAAACATATGCAAAAACCAGAGCTCTCGAAGGAAGAAAACTGGGAAAAGAATCCAAAAAGGAGAGAATGGGGAAAACCGGCCCTCCTAGAGCAGTGCCCGGAGTGTTCTGAGGCAGGGAGACCATCTCTGCTTGGGAGCATACCCAGGACACCTTCACGCTGTGAGGGCCTGTTTCACGTGTGCGGTCTCCCAGATGTGAAGGGAATGTTCACGTGGGAAGCAGGTCTCAAGTCAGTGAGCACTGCACATCTGCCTCACCAGACTGTGGTCCACTCCCATCCAGTTCACCTGGCAGTGGTTTCAGAGAGTAAATATTCTATGTTTCTTTACAGTAAATGTGGTTAGTGCTCACTGTTGCCCACCATTTATAGTACAATGTTTACCCACTTCCTGTTGAAGTTGGGGTGGGATTCAATGACATCGGATTTCTCATCATCCCTGTATCTGCTAGGTGGGATTTATTTCCTGGAGTTCACCTCATCTATTGATGCTGGACCCTGAAGGAGACACTAGTCCCTGTGCAGCACTCTGTTTATGAGACACAGAGGGCAGCCCTGGCCTCCCGTCAGACTGGATGAGACGCCCAAAGGCTAACCCAGCCCAGCGAGAGTTCACCCTCTGGAGACTCACCCCATCTAGCACTCTCCATGAGTGATGAGTCCCACCATTTACAGGGGATGTGGGATGTTACAGTGCAGGAAAGGGAAAGAGGCCACAATGCACTGAGAGGCTCAGCCAACGTAAATGTTTATGGCTGACATCACACCACGCTTCCTAGGATGCCAGAGTACAAGTCTCCTAAGACTCTGCAATCCAGAAGGGTCATTCTTCTTACCACATTACCCATCCCGTGACGCCAGGAGGTTACGGCCCAGCAGTGATGACCCTCTCTGTCTGGCACATAGCCTCCTATCCTGATACATCCTCCCCGCTCCCCAAGAAAAGCTACTCTTCCAACCCTAGAGAACTATTTATCTCAAGGACCTTGTCAGTTAAACTCACATTTCACATGTCCTTTTGTTTCTAGTTCCTATTGTAAAAGACATTCTGTATCAGAGGTTCCCAAATAGGGCCGCACATCAGGACCCCCTGGGAATCATGTGGAAATATACAAATCCTAGGACATGCCACAAAACCTATGGATTCAGGAGTGGAGCTCAGGACCCACACAGTTAAAAAGTTCCCCCAGGACATTCTGATGTTGCAAGTCTATGGACTGGCATTTTGAAGCCACTTGCTCTACCATTTTGTTAATCTGTTTAGTTCTACAACAATATCATAATTTTTAATACTGACGGGAAAACTCTCTCTGTACTTTCTCAGAGGTTGCAAAGCTATTCTCACACATTTATTTTTCAATAAAAACTTTAGAATAATCTGTCAAGTTCCAAAAGAAAAAAAATTTAGAGATTTTCCCTGGACCTACATAAAATTTATAAATTAATTTTGAGATAATGTTTTCACAATATTGAGACTTTCCCTCCAAGATCATAGTATATTTTTTGTTATGCTTTTATAGTCTTTCTTTACATATTTTGTACATTCCTAGTTAATTTATTCCAAGTCATTCTATCATTTTTGTTGTAATTTTCCATTCTATTATTAACTTGTTGTTGCTGTTATGTAAGAAACCTATAGATTTTTGCACATTTATCTTACGAGCAGTCAACTTACCGAACTCTTATTAGTTCTAACATTTTTAGCTCAATCTCTTGCACATTGTAGGTATATTGTATATAGTTCATATCATAAATTTAAAACATCTTTTTCTTCCTCCTTTTCAAATATGTAAACTTTTTCTTTCCTCCTCTTCCTTTCTGTGCACAGGCCAGAAACACCGGAACAGCGAGGGTGTTAGCAGTGGACGTGGGCACCCTGTCTCCCTGTTTGATTCTTGACTTTAATGAAAATGCCTCATGCTCTTCTCCATTAAATATTTGCTTCTGACTTTTTCTCATCATGTGAAGGAAGTGTCCATTTCTTTGCTTAGATTTACTGAGTTTTTTTAAAAAGCAAGAATGGATGCAAGATTTTTATCAGCTGCCTTTGGAGCTGCCATCCAGGTCATCACGTGGATTTATGCACTCCTCCTGCGACTTCCTCATGTTGACAGACTCTTGCACAAAGAATGCTCATTAAGTTACAGTGCGTTCTTTTTTAGTCCACTCTGGAGAGGATTTGCTAATACTTTTTCTAGAGTTTTGGTACCTCTATGGGCTATAGCTTTCTATTTTTATACTATCTTTCTGTATTATTGTTAGACAAAAAAAAAAGGTTATCTGAGTTCTAGATCTTTTTCTGAGTTCTTAGAACACGTTAAATTACAGAGAAAGTGTCTGTTTCTTGAAGACTTGAGAAAATTTACTTGTATATCTATGGTGTCTTTTGGGGAACAGGTTGTTCTTAGACAATGGTTTCTTTGATAATTCAAATCAATTCTGGTCATTCATACTTTCCTGGAAGATACTCCTTTTCATCGAGATATTTAAAATTCTTACCACTAATTTGTCTACTGAATTTATTTTACTGCTTCTCTATCTGTAGTTATACTTCTTTTCTCACACCTAATGTTGCGTATTTCTAAGAATTTTCTCCCCTTATTCCCTTGATTGGATTTGCCAAAGGTCTGCCTAGCTTACTTGTATTTTTGAATACTCTCTGTTTTGTTTATCAATTCTATTTTGGGGAGATGCTCACTCGTTAATTCCTGGGATTTGCTTGGGTTATTTTGCCTTGTGGTCCAACATCTGCTATTCACCGGCATTGCTTTGGTTTGCATTTCCCTGATATAGCTTTTCCCATATATTTAAAATTCAAAAATTCCTATATTTTCAGCAATTATCTCTTTTGGTTTTAGGTGTGTGTCTTGTAAACAGCATGTGGAAGAATTTTGCTGTTTACTCAGCCTGAGAATCTGACCCATTCAGCTTTTTCTAACACGTAAAAGACTGCTCTTATGTCTGCATCTTATTTCCCGTTGGTCTTTTTTATTTGTTTTAAATTACAGTTTCATGCTGTTTCTTCGTACATTTTCCCTTTCCCTTTCTTTTACTTGAAAGTTCTACACTCAATTTCTAATCTGGAAATTATGTATACATTTTAAATTTATTTTAATCTATATTTCTCTATCAACATCAAGAATGAAAGTATCTACAACATTCTCCCAGAACAAGATTTCAGCATGCTTTTACTTCCTTTCTCCTGCCTCTCAGATCCTGTTGACTTCTCTTGGTCATTCACTGAACCTACACCTAAAACTTGCTAAGCCCCAAATTCCACGTGATGGCTTGCTAGGTATTTCTTAGTATGCCACTTCAAAATTAACTTAGAAGCATTTTGTATATGGGGACCTTTGAGGAATCTAACAAGATTTTACCCACTCAAGGAAATTAAAAGTTATTTAGAAATATTAAGCACTTAGAAGAGTTCAAGAATATCACCTGGCCCCTCAGGTGTGGCAGAATGGGGCCAGCATATACTCCACTGTGCCCTCCCTGGAAGCGCAGAGCCCCAACAGTGGGAGGCAGTGGGCACAGCGAGGCTGACACATCCAGAAGTCATCAGCTCATAGGGAACCCTGCGTCTGGTGTCATCCACACACCACAGTGCCTGGCTGTCCCCTCTGTCACAGGCCGAGTGTGCAGTTCTGTCCTTCATGGTCTTTTCCCCACCATAGAGGCATTCCTTGTTTCCTCCCCACTTGGACTTGATTATTTTAGAAACAAGGTTTGAACATTTTTAATCTTAAAAAGAGGCTCCTTAACTACCTAACTACCAATCCAAAACATACATAATTCAAATCCTATTCCATTCAGCCTTTCCGCAATGTTTCACTCAAGTAGTTCTTTTTTAAGACTCCCTAAGTCCTAAATCTTGCCCTTAAAAATCTAACCCCTCTTGGCTTCTATGACACAAGTCTCCTGGTTTTCCTCCTCTTCCTCACCCACTTACCTTAGGTATTAGCATATCTCAGGATTCTGTCTCTGTCTTCTATTCTTTTCCATCCATATGTTCTCCCTAGACCATCTCAGCAATTCCTAAGACTTCAACTATCACCTCCATGCTATGACTCTAAACCCAGGCCTTGCCCAGACTTCTCTCAAGCAAAAACCATCCCTAGATATCTAACTCCACGAGGATGTTCCAAAGGGACTGTAAGTGGAATATCCACACAAGACGAAGAAGCCAGGGAAAAGGATTCTTGAAAGTGAAGACTACCCAGAAGTTAAACTGCCAAGTGGAGAGACCTCATTTTATTTACCACCAGTCTGTGTTTGACCAAAAGCTCACCATGGAGTTGACTGTGAACATCTGTCCAGCCTCAACTCATGCGAAAGTCCACCACACCCAGCCACTATCCCATACTTGCCTGTGTTATCCATCTCAAGGAATGCATTACACTTTCACCCAGTCCCTCGTCCTGGATTCATCCCTCTCCCTCACCCTCTACCCTACTGATGACCTGGATAGCCTGGCAGAATCACCTATTAAGTATCAGAATCATCTATGAAACTTTAAACATGCACATGCACAGATCTACTGGATCAAAATCTCTGGGGGAAGAGACAAGGAGTAATTTTTTTGAAACTCCACACATTATTCTAGTGATAATGGAATCACTACTCTACATCTAACCTGTCAATTCCATGCCTTAAATCTTTTAAATTCATTTTGTACTCTCCAGCCCGACTTCAGTCTTTGCTCAGGCCTCGTCATCTCTCCTCTGGGTTATGCAACAGTGCCCCACCTCACCTCCTTGTCTTTGGACTTGACCCCTCCCCACCCGCCTCCAGCCTTCTAAGTTCCTTGGTGCCATCAGAGGGATCCAGAATCCAAACTGTGGTTCATGTTCTTCTCCTGCTGAAACTTCTCAACAGCTCTCTTACTACCTTTGGGGGTAAATTTTAACTGCTTAAGATGGCTTTGAAGAGCCATGATCTGATTATCTCTCTAATCTCACTTCTCCCAACATCTCTCCCCAGTCTTTACCCCAACCACTCACTACCCCCAGACATACCATGTCTTCTCACATCTCCACAGTTTAGGTCAAGCTGCTTCCTGTCTTAAATGTCCTACTTCTCTGTGACCTTCAAGATGCAGTTCAAGGGTCACCTCCACTACCTCTGACCCTCAATGCTACATTAAATGCCCCTGAAGTTGATGCTCAAAACTTCACCATGAATTATAGTGCACTGAATGGCTTCTCTTCTCTTCTCTTCCAACGGACTGTGCTGCTAAAGAGCAGGAACTAGATTTTCCTCATATCTGTATCCTCAGAGCCTAACCAATAACAGTTTATTGGATGAATTTGTTTTCCATCTTTCATTAACCAAAGACATACATAACCAGTGATAAAACAGAAAATATTATTGCAATAATGTATAAAATCCAAATAATAACCCTTGCTATTCTACTTTCTATATACTTAAAAGAAATCTGAAAATAGTGATTATTCTCTCACATTCTGCTAAGGGTTTGGAATGGCTATAGTTGCAACAATTCCCTCCTTAGACACTAAGGCCCATGAGAGCAGGGCCAGGTTTAAACTGATTATCTACGGGTCCTGGCTGGCACAGAGTGGGCTCCTAAGGAGTATTTATTAAACAAATTTCAAACTCAATTATAGAAATATAAATAGCAAGTATTTCTCTAAGAAACTCATTCTTTCTTCTTTTCTCCCAATCTATATTTTTATAAACTATTACCTACCTTGTTGATTATACTCCCAGCCAAATTTCCTTGAGTCAACTAATGCCTGCCCCAAAAGGGCAGCCTGATGCATCAATTTCTTAGGAATACAGCCTACATTTACACAAGTACCACCAAGACCTGAGAGAGAAAATAATAGTTTTAATGTTTTGTGTGTGTGTGGTTTTATACACGTGCAGAGTGGGTGTTATTAAAATGTGGAAACAACAAACTTGAATGGTTGTGGGGTCAACATCACACCCCACAATAATACACCAATGTTAATCCAAATTGCTTAACTGAGGGCTTGTGAAGGAGGCCCAAGGATGAGCAAAAATATGGATATGTATTTGAACAGTTCAATATGTATTTAAACAGAGTCCAAAACTTTGATTTGAGTCTGACCTACAAAGGGATTAGAACTGTATTAGATTCATTAGATATGTACTATACCAAGGGCCAGAAGCCCAGTTTCCAGCCTTTACTCTCTGTAACTCTGACTCCTTCTCTGAGCCAACGGTAGACCCACTGCAAGCTGCCTGGTAACACCTGCTCAGAATGGGTCTAAAGATTCCCTCTTTGATCACAGTCTCCTCTGGTAAGCCAGATAAGTAGGCTGTTTCTGGACAGGACAGGGAGAAGGCAGGAGAGAAAGAAGGAAGAGGGAAGGAGAAAGGAGGAGGGGAAAAAAAAGACAAGTGTACACAAACCATACAAATATTATGAGAAAAATGAAGGTAGGTGAGCTTCACTATGTGAAATTCTAGGCTAAAATTTTTTGAGTAAGTTTGAGTTTTAAGAAATGATTGTCATATTTTGTCAGGGTTCCGGCAGGAAGCAGATGACACCCTCAAGCTGGGTAACTGAGGAGAGCTTGTAGAGTAATTATTAGAGGGCTGTGGGCAGGAAGAGAAGGAGGGACAGAACAGTGGGGCCATCACCAACCCCACATGAAGTGAGCGCCACAGCCAAATGGGGACAGCCATGACAGGGGCTGTGGCTTTCCACAAGGGGACAGACCCAGCCTGCAGCGACCCTCAGGGAGGGAGCCAGGGGAATGAAGACCCCAACTCCTCTCTCCTCCTTCCTTCTGTTCTTCTCCTATTACCCAAAACAGGCCACGTCCAACCAGAAGCCAGAGGGCAAGGCTGCCAATTCATCAGCCTCTGGGGCAGAGTGCAGGGTACAGACACCTGAGAATGGACTTGAAGCATAAACAGCAAACATCCAGCACAAAATCTATGTTCTATTTTATAGTGAAAAGAACACGGGAAGGCGAGCACTCTCCTCTACAGCAAAGTCACAGGGAGCTCACTGTGTGCTTTATTAAACTGACCTGGCATGATCACACACACACTAACTCGACTGACCATCGTGCAGCCAGTAGAGTCAGTTACGAAATCGATGCAGAAACAGAAAAACGGTATGGCAAAGTTAGGTGAGCAGGACATAGTATATACACTGTGACCACAACTATGTGAAACTGTTCGTGTGTGCGTGCAAAAATTATTATGGCAGAAGTGTTGGAACAATGGCGTGATGGAATTTTTTTCTTTTTGCAAAATCTTCCTCAATTATTTTTATATTATCTTTCCAACTTCTCCACTTGTTAACTATGTGATCTTAGGCCAGTTACCTAACCTCACTGAGACTCAGTCTCCTCACCTATGAAACAGGCTAGTTATATCTCTTGAGACTGTTGTGAGGCTTAAACGAGATTGAACAAAGCCAAGGAAGTATACAAAGAGCAGAGAGTAATAACAATCACAGCAACAAAGAAAAACAGCTTACCCCAGGACGTGCCCTGAGGGGACGGGACCACAAAGTCTAGCACCATAACTTTCTTTCCCAAAATGGCAGCTTCCTACAAAAAAAGCTACATATAAAGATCTTGTCATTTTCCTGACACTCCCCCAACTTTTCTCTCCCCTAGATGAAAAGACTGGGTTTGTGTCAAAACACAGACTTTTCTCTTTATTAAACCAGCTATTACAATAAAAGCTTAGATTGTAACATCATAATTGGCTTTTTTTTCAAGTAGCAGAAGAAATGCTTACAGCAATCACTAGGAAAATTATCTTCGAGTTGAAACCAGCAAACAGTTAGTCACTGACGATTAAGCAGCTAGTAACTATGGGGGATCGGAATTGGCCACCTCAAAATATGTCTCTGCCTGAAAGACACTTTGGCCCCCACCCCCACTAAATGACCAAAGGAGTTTGCGACGGGAGGTCTGCCCCCAGAACAAGCCATCACCACAGACATCTCTGGGTATCTGGGAGAGTCCTTGCTAAGCCCATTCTTAGTTCTTGTTACTCTTTGTAAGAGACATTTACATTTGCAAAGGAAATCTCCACTTGTAAAGGTATCTTCTTCCCAGTACCAGGAAGAAGGGGGGATGGCCTTACCTAGAAACTTATCAGAACGGAAGGCAAGGACTTAAATCTGCATGATAAACCTACCCACTGTTAACTGTGCTGTCTAGGCAATTTGCTATCTCATTCCCATTAGGTTCCTATAGATAACTACTCCCTGGAGCATGGGTCACCATGGTAATGGGTGTTTGAGCTATCTTTTTCAGGAATTGGAACCACTTGTCCACTTCAGGCCAGTTGAGACTAAAACCTCACCCTCAGGACAGGCTAACACCGCCATTCTGTGAACACAGATCATCAATTACCTCATCTCTCCTCACCTCCCACTGTTTCAGATGACCTTGCTCCCTACCCTATAAATATCCCTGAGTCCCTATTTTCGAAGCGGATTTGAGATTCATTCTCCCGTTTCCACACTTGGCTGCCTTGTGATGAATAAACCCTCTCTCTCTCTGCAATCTTGTCATCTCGGTGACTGGCTTTCTGGGCGGCGGGCAAAAACGGACCTGGTGTGGTAACAGAGTTTCATTTTTTTCATACCTGAGCACACGCAAGGCCACCAGAACCGCCACCAATGACAATGAGGTCATAGTCATATGCTGAATCTCCCTGAAGGAGCTTCTGTAATAAACCACTCTGATATGCCTATGATTTAATGAAAGGAGAGAATATGGTATGACTTGTTTTAAAACTGTTCCTTTGCATGCTATTTTTATCAGCATGGATTTCTTTTATAAAATCTTAGAAACAATCTATAATTCATGAAAAGTTGAAACTGCAAATTTATCTGGATGTTATTCAAATAGGGTCCAACTACTCAGAACGTATGCCAAAGTACATGTTTTTGTTTATCACCTGATAGCTAGGCATGTGTCAAATGACCGAGGTCATGGCTTTATATCTAAGTCAGACGAGGTCATTTTCCTTGGTCTAATCATCAAAATATTATAAGCAAGTGCAGTAAAATAGCCATGAGCCATTTTTCAAGATCCTCTACATTTTGTTCACCTGAGCTAGGCTTCATTTTGAAAACAATTCTCATGCATCATCAGCAGGACATGCACTTCAAATTTTTTCATGGTTTCTCATAAATTGACCTAAATTTTGCAGCTCACTGGTGAACTTCCTATACAACACAAACATTTTGCTTTTCTTTCAGCAGTGGCAATGAGGCTGGCTCTGACCATATTCTCGTGTTCATTCGGCCCTCCTTGTGATCAGAAGTAGCTTAGATGGGGCCACAGGTTCAATACGTGATTTAACAATAGTTTTCCTTATGCGAAGTTGGTTGCTCAATCCAATTATGTCGGCTTTAGAGACACCAGGATGGAACCAGCTCATCCTGGGAAGCACAATGAAAGTGCTACATGATAGGGAGCTCAGCAGATGTCCCGTGCGCCACTGAAGAACGGGTGCTCGTGGAGGCTTTCGGCACATCCTGAAAGGACTCTTTTGTCCTCCTTACTTTTAGGTGGCTTTAGGGAAATCTGTCTCCTAAACATCTGCTATCCAAGGAAACATCTTTCAGTCTTGAAATAGAATTGATATCTTTGTATCTCCAGATTCACCCTCTGACATCATTTTCCAGGTTAGGACTGGCAAGACCAGTACTTCCAAAGGTGTTTAGGGGCTATAATTGCATACTTACCACCATGTGAATTGGGTTATAGCTCCTAGAAGTAATACAGTAGGTTGTTACTAGATAACGATGCTAATCATAGATTAACATACAACAAAATGTCTTCTCAACAAAAATACAATCCTTAATTAAAAATCTCAAATATAAGTATTTAATCAATCACTGCTTACTACCATTTGTATACATATATAAAAGATACAAGAGCAGAATTTTAATAAAAGCAAATAATTAGTTATAAAATAAGGAACTTTTTAAATAAATTTTTATCTATCATACCTAACTGAATGATTCCTGTTCATTTCTGCATTCTAGGAATCAAAAAATCAAAGGCCATGGGCCTTTGCAAAACTCCTGGGGTTACCATCCTTGAGAAGAATTCTGCTTACCCTAGACAAGAATGTTAGTGTTGACCTCATTTTACTAAAACTTAAAGAGGGAACAACCCTGTTTCTCTCCCCATCAGGAGGAAGAGACCAGGAAAGTCCCCAAGGTGGCCCACCTGTTTGTCCTGGCAACCTCACTCAAAACCTTCTCCTTCTTAGCTTCTGAAGTTTGAGCTGGTAGAAAACCTAATTTCATTTAAGTAATCAACATTATCTGATAACCATGCTATATGCTTTTCAATTTTACAACTTCCAAAAGACAAATGAATAGACTTCTAAAAACCATTTTCTCCCCTTTTAATTATTTAAAAACAAAATTTGAACAAACAGCATCAAAGAACATATAATACTATTATTACCTGGAAAGTTCGGTCACATCCACCCATATGCACTTTATTCACGAAAATATTGGGCACAGTTCTCTGACTGGTGATCTCTGACAGCACTTCTTGAACACTGGCCCCATCATCTAAAGAATAAAAAATTAAATATATAAAAACATTAAAAGGGTTCCAAACTTTGTGAGTTGAACTAAAGTGTTACAACTCTCAAATGCTCACATGGACACACCCATGGAAGATCAGTGTCTTATATAACTTTACGAAATGATGACTCAAGAGGGGAAAATACCCAGGTTTTCAAAGGAAAGCTTAAAGAATAAAGACCAATCTACTGATTCCTTTTAAAATAAACTCTTCTAAATTAGATTTTGATTTATAATTCAATACGATACCAAGACAATAGATAAGAATCCTCTTTAAAGAGCAAATATCAAGATAAAATCTGCTTCAACAGTAATAACTCAGAAAATATTTCCTACAATTAGATTTGAACAATCTTTATGATCACAGTCCAAAATTCATCCTCCATCCCTAAAAATAAAACTGGGCCATGACTACTTAAGACTACCCTATTTGGTATATTCTTTAGAAAAGTCTCAAAGATTCAAAAACATCTCATTCATTAAAGCAACTTGGCTAAAACGAGTTGGTAAAGCCCTGTGAAGGTAGAGATCACACTTTTCATGCACATGTAAAGTGCTCAATTAATATTAGACAGTGGATGCATGGATGACAAAAACTCAAAAGTATAAAGCTAAAAAACTAATGTGGTTCCCCTCGTGGGTAATACAATCAGGAAATAGGGGAGGATTCTTTTCATTTATTACAGCTTAATCTATTTTGCTAGAAAGTTGGCAGATGTATCTGAAATGCCTGAAGTACTTTAAGGTTACAAGCTTATACATCCTCCTCCCACTCCCTCCCTTCAAATACAACAAATACATAAATTAAAAAATCTACACCAAATTCTTTGTCATGTAGAGGTTCATTTTCTGCATGGCTGAATGTAAACAAAAACAGCTCATCTAACCCAAAGAGACAAGAGTAAATCGAGCTGAACAAAGCAAATGGACAGAAGTCAATTTTGCTGACATTTATTAGAAACAACAGTACGTGCTAACCATTCTACTTACCAATTTGATCAAGTTCCAAGATATTGCATTCAACTCCCAAGGAAGAAAAGAGTTCTTTAACCTGGAACAAAAATTTACCTAAGTTTTACTCTCACAAAGATTCAACAGAGTAATGAAATATGGACACAGTAATAAGTGAGGTCCAAAATAAATGTTCTTCAGGAATATGAGCTCTGGCCTACGTTTTTTTCTCCCTTTCTCTCCATATCTTCCCAGAATAACCTCAGCCCATCTCTTCCCTTCTTTTACAATCTGTATCTTTAACTTCCAAATCTATAACTTTTGCCCAAATCCCTTTTCTGAACTCAAGACAGGCAATATATATTTCTCCACTTGAGTATCCAAAGGCATCTCACATGCAACATGCCCAAAATGAAATTCATCTTTTTCCACATACCTTTTCCTCTTTCTGTGTTTACTTTCAACAGTCATTAAATCATTCAACAAATATTTATCCATCAAACACCTACTATGGGTCATCCATTGTTTTACATACTCCAGATATAACAATGACCAAGACAATCCCTGCCCTCTAGTAGGGGAAACAGACAAGTAAACTGACAATTTCACTCTGCCACAGTTCACCAGTTGCCTGAAGAGAACAAGAAACCCTAGGGCCTTATTACTTAAATAGGGCATGGAGGACCTACAGCATGGGTATCTCCTAGGAGCTTGCTAGACATGCAGAATCAGGCCCTGGATGAGAATCTGAATTTGACAACTTTGCAAAGCACTGATGATGAGTCATTTTAATGCTTCTCTCTTACAACATCTTTCTACCACACACGAACTTCCCACCTGTCCAATTAATTACTAAGCCTTAACAACTTCCTATGTTGAACTAGTTCATCTTTCTAGTGCCTCACAGTTGCTATCTTAATTTAAGCCACCAACATGTACTACTGGAATTTCCGTTACATCCTAAGAATTCTCTCTGCATCCAGTTTTGCCCCTCCAGTTCTCTAAATTACAGCTAAAGTGGATTTTTTCAAAGCCGACTTTACATCACTACTTAAACCCTTCAGTGCCCTCAACCCTCAAGATAAAGCCCAGAGTTTCCAGGGCCAGGATGGAGCATGAGGAGCTTGGCAGACCTGCTCCCTGGCAAACACCCACAACTGGTGAAAATTACTAAAAAGCAACCCTTTAAAGTCTCCGGAAATTGTCCTGAGGGCACACAGCAAATGAAGAAATATAATTATTAAAGAAAACCTGTCAACAAGAACAGTGAGAGTCTGAGGCACTTAAGCCATGATCTGCATCCTCCCTCCCCAGCTGTAGAACAGTCTGACAGAAGCTCCACTTCAAGTGAGTGTGGCCAAGAAAATGAAGCTTCCTAGTGCCTGAAATCTCAGTGACCAGAAGGGACAAGCCACCATCATTTCTCAGTATCCCCATAGCTCTGAGTGGCAAAGGCTAAATTCCTGGTGAGTGTAGCCAAAAACACAGGGGCTCCCTTCCTCCACCCAGCCCCAAGTCATAAGCAAAAATATTAGGGTCCAGATCACCCTCACCCCAGCCCACTTGTAGGGTGAGGTTCCAGGCTAGGAGAGGCAAGCTAAGAAGACCGGAGGCTACTGCCCCCACTCAGAGCCCTGCTCATAAAGCAGGGTTATCAATCCAAGAGAATCAGGGCACTGTCCCCACCCCCAGCTCTGGAGAAAGGTCTCAGAGATTTTTCTCAGGGGAAGAGGTAAACCATAAGATCAGAAAGCTCCAAAGCTCTACTCAAAGAAACTGACTTTATTTGAAAACCTGTGAGGAAGTCCAAGTCTAAAGGCATTCTTGAAAACAACGGAGATTTTGGAGGTAAGGAATTAAGAGAAGGCTGGCAGCTCCATTAAAGTAACAAGCTAACCTGTAAGCCGGCTAGTTTACCAGAGAGAACCAGGGAAAGAAACAGCTAAGAAGAGCCCTTCTAGGGTCAGGACAAACCTCAAACTTGCCTTAAAAGCTACTCCTGCAAAGGGGCCCAGATTTAACTGGATCAGAGTATGGAGCAATTTACACCCCAGGGTGTGATCAAAAACAGTAGAGCAACTAGCCTGCAATTAGTGGAGCTTAAGGTCTGGGTATGACACCACCAGAGACAAACAATATAATACAGTCAATGAGAGCCATGCTAAAATCCCTGTCACCTCAGAGTTACTGTGTACATACCCAAGGCTGCACCCTCTGAGGAGTGACATCAGAGGCTCCACCTTAAGGTGGAAATAAACTTTCCTAAAATAATGCGGCCAACTTGCTATAAAGAAATATACAAGCAAACAAAAACACACGACAGAAGAGGAGGGGATCAGTATCTGAATGCCCAGGTTTCAACAAAGCATTACTAGACCTACAAAGAAACAGGAAAGTGGATCCATACACAGGGAAAAAAGCAGGCAAGAGAACCTGCCTCTGAGAGGGCCCAGGTGTCATGCTAAACAACAAAGTAGTCAATGTAAATACACTCAAAGTGTTAAAGAAAACTACGCTTCAGGAGATAAAGAAAGGTATGATGATAATGTCTCATCTAGTAGAAAATGTCAATAAAGAGATAAAAATTATAAAAAAGACCCAAGTAGAAATTATGGAAATGAAAAGTTCAATAATGAAAATGAAAAGTCACTGGAGTGCCTCAAAAGATCTGAACTGACACAATTACCAAACATTAGAATAGATCAATAGAGACTATGCAATCTCAAGCCACAGAGAGAAAAGAATGAAGAAAAATGGACAGAGCCTTAGAGAAATATGGGACACCATTAAGCACACCAAGATACACATAGTGTGAATACCAAAAAAAGAGAGAAACAAAAGAACAAAAGAAATATTTGAAGAAATGTCCAAAAAAAGTCCCAAATTTGATGAAAAACAGTAATCTACATATCCAAGAAGATAAACAATCTCAAAGTAAGATGAGTTAATATGAGCTCTGGAAGCTGGTCAAAGATCTACAGCAACCAGGTGAATGCTCAATAAAGAAAATGCCACATTTGAAGTGGTGGCATTTTTAGCCTCCTTTGCACCACCCAATCCCTAGTGCTGCATGGCACAATAAGAGGAGAGCAGCAGCCTGGGCCACAAAGTGAAGAGAGCAGATAAGACCAACTTTGCAACATTCTATCCTGTCTGAAGGCTGTCTGAGGGACTGGTCTCTGTGATGCCTAACTCCGACTTCAAATGGCCCAAAGTAGCTAGAATCTTAGGCTAGAGGAAGTCATGAGAAGCAGGGGATGTGGCTCATGAAAACCAAATCTGCAGACACTTAGGGGTAAGAAATTACAAGCAGAAGAATATACTATAACAGCTAAGGTCGCAAGAAGAAGCAAGGGGGAGACTCTTAAGGAATTTAAGACACTTTAAAGCAACCACATATACAGGAGAACTGGGCCCAGGGGTGAAAAGCACACATAGAGGCCCAAGGAAGACGAGTGCCCAGAAAAGGCCTGAGAAGATCTTAAGTCGTCATGCTTCGCTGATCAGTCTTTCCCAGCATGGAGCCAGTCTGCAAAGACTGGGATAAGTGGCTGTTTTATATAATGCCAAATTTTCAAGAAAAGATCATATGCATACAAAGAAAAAGGAAAACACAGCCCATTCAAAGGAAAAAATAAATCTCCAAAACGTTGCTAAACAAATACAGACTTTATACTTGATAAATAAATGAAAAGCAATAGGATATATTGGAGTATATGAGGAAGCCATTTGGTTTAAAACTAATTTGGCCTAACCTTGTTTTTCCAGAAAGCCCCAACATGGCCTGTTGAGCATGCACTGTACATCTGCTTTATACATTTACAATGTCCCAAAGATGAGAATGATGCCCTTAAAGATAGGCATGTAGCTTCCCACCCATTTTGGCATTTCTTTAGGATAAGCATCTCTTCCTGGAAACTAAGGATTAATTACCGACCTGCTGTGCTCACCTTGTGACCACTGACCTGCTGTGCTAGCAGAGCAATCTCATGACTGTTGTAAAAGGGATATTCCTGTCACATGTGATGTGTGCTCTTTGTTCCAAGACGGTATATAACCACTCTGTACACCTTACCTCTTGGGTTACAGTCCTGAAACCTGACTCATAATAATCTCACCCCAAATTTTGATATATAGATTGACTATGGAATATTTGCATTGACAAACTTACTAGGCAGAGGTGTGAAAACTGTGTTAAATATGCTCAAAGAGGAAAACACAAAGAGCTACAGGAAATCAGGAAAACGATATATAAACAAAACGAGAACAACAACAAAGAGATAGAAATAACCAAACACAAACTCTAAATGTGAAAAATACAGTCAAGGAATTGAACAATTCACTAGAGAAGTTCAACATCAGACTTAAACAGACAGAAGAAAGAATCAGTGAACCTGAAGACAGGCCATTTGAAATAATTAAGCCTAAGGAGGAAAAAGAAAGAAGAAAAATGAACATGGAGAAAGAGGCTTGATAGACATCATTAAATGGTACAATATACACATTACGGGAGTTTCAGAAGAAGAGGCAGAGAGCTTATTTGAAGAAATAATGTCCAAAATTTCCTGAATTTGAGGAACAATGTGGATATACAATACAAGAAGCTCAAAAAACTCCAAGGATAAACCCAGAGACTCACACCAAGACACATTATAATCAAACTGTCAAAACCAAAGACAAAGAGAGAATCTTGAAAGTAGCAAGAGAAAAGCAACTCATCACATCCAAGTGATGCTCAATAAGATTATCAGTGGATTTTTCAGTAGAAACTTTGCAGGCCAGAGGCAGTGGGATGATATGTTTAACGTGCTGAAAGAAAAAAAACTATCAACCAAGAATTCTATATCTGGCAAAAAACTGTCCTTCAAAAATGAGGGAGAATCTAAGACTTTCTCAGATAAAAAAAAATTGAGGGAGTACGTTAATACTGTACTTGCCCTCAAGAAATGCTATAGGTAGTCCTTCAAGTTGAAATGAAAGAATGCTAGACAAAAATTCACAGCCATATGAACATACAGAGTTCTCCAATAAAAGAAAACACATGGACAAACATACAAACCAGTATTATGAAAATTTTGGTTCATAATTATATTTTTTACT